TCTACTGAACCTTATATATGTTTTATGAAACCAAGGAAAGGAATTCTGAATGTTGAAATGTGTAAAAACCAAATAAAATAATTAAAAAAAAAAGTGATTTAAATCACTGATTTTTATTTTAAAAATCAAGTTGATTTAAATAAAAAAAATCAACTGATTTAAATCAACCTGATTTAAATCAACCCAACCCTGATATCAGCGCTCGTCAAAATAATGAAAGTGAAGAAACTGGCATTTTCCGCAGCTTTGGGAATTTTTATTGAATTTTTTTTTTAAGGTTCAACACCTTTCATGCCCATTAAAGAACACATTTCTAAGTGAATTTTACTGAAAAACGTTGACTAAAGGCATAAAAGATGTAAATTATAAGTTTCCACAGACTCTCAAGCTAAAAAAGTAACTAAACTTTGGCGGCCATTTTCTCGCTAATTTTACTTCTGAAACCAGGCGACCCCCTCCTCCTTTAATCGCAAATACTTCTTTTCATCGAAAGCAAGGCAAATGCACAGGCTTTAAGATGATACCAATAACTCCAAAAGCCCAAAAATTGACGAGCGCCTGATTCCACCACGTTGTGACACATACGACGAAAACTGAAAGGACTACTTATTGGGAATACGTAGGTGTAAATTTGTGACCGCAATATGAATGCTACTGGACACAATTACTCAAATATGAATACAACACTTTGGACAATCAATAGCACAAGTATGAGAGATCTCACTATCATTCATTAGAAAACAAAAACTTTTACATGTTTGGGTATCTCTTAACGATGACCCCCTATTGCTGCCTCCAACTGAATGAGCTCAGGAAGGTTTAATAAACATTGCAAGCTGAGTTTTACCACATAATATGCACAAAGTTAACGAGCAAAAACAGAAAAACTCCTGAATTCTCTTTAAATGTCTCAAAACCTTTAGATGTACAAATATGCATATATATTTAAAAAAACATGCAATCAATAATTTCAGGGACACTTACTCCCAGATTTATCAGTAAAAAGAGTTCATTCATTACCATTTACCACTTTCTGTTTACTTTGACGTTTTAAGTAATGAAGGCTTCACGGGGTACATTTTTATGGCTTGTGATAAGGCTGTAGAAAGTCCTGCATATATGGGCCTTGAGAAAAGTTTGGGTAGACATACATGTACTCCTGTCCAGGAGCCACAAACCCCCCTTGCCTTGTCATGTCAGTATTAGCCCTTGAAATCTCACCCCCACCCAGTCTCTGCATGTCATTTCCCACAATATTCACTGGCCTGATCATATCAGCTGGAGAAGGCCTGGTCATTTCACTTGCATGTCGAGCGGCCATGTTATTAGCATGTCTGACCATATCGCCCCCATGTCTGACCAAGTCATTACCGAGACCTGAAAAACGAGCCATGGCATTTCCCCCAGCTCCTTGTCTCATCATGTCCTCAGAGATATTAGGGAGCCTCACAATGTCCCTAGAGACGGAGGGATGCCTGTTTAAGTTGTCCAAATTGCCATGCCTGGTTAAGTCATGTAAAGGCTCCATACTAGGCAACTGTGGGTGCTGACCAATGCTTTCCTCAACCGCTGCCGTGACTGGTACCATGGATGAACTTTGCTGCTGGGGAATGGTCCCAGTATCAGTAACAGCCGAGTTCTCCGGAAACATCAGTGCGACATCCCCACCACCTCCAACAGTCTCGGTAGCTTCAGAGGACTCCAGGACACCGGGAGGTGGTTTGTTATAGTTCACTCTCAAGTGTTTGTATTGATAGTTGTAGTCCGGATGAGTCTTCTTGATGTGGGACAGCATGTTACTGGACATGGCAAATGCTCTGCTGCACACAGGACACGAATACGGTTTTTCATTGGTGTGAGTGCGCATGTGGATTTTGAGGTAGTCGTGCCGAGCAAATGCGCTGCCACAAACCGTGCAGACATGGTTTTTTATTTTCGTATGCAGCTTCATGTGGGTTTTGACATGGCCTCGCTGAGTAAATGCCTTGTGACATATGGGACAGAAGTGGTTCTTCTCCTGTTTGTGACTAAGCATGTGACGAGACAAGCCACTTTTGTGCTTGGAACTGTAACTGCAGATGGTACATTTGAACGGCTTATCAGGAAAGTGAGATTTCTTATGCGATTTAAGGTAGCTGAGATCAACAAAAACTTTTTCACAGAACTCACATTGAAAGTTCTTCTCTCCAGTGTGAATCCGTCTGTGCAGTCGGAGAGAGTTGCTGGTGCTGTAGTTTTTATTGCAAAACTCACACCTGTAGGGGTTTTCCTTGCTGTGGTAGGCTTTCATGTGTTCTTTTAGAGACCAGGGTAGAGAGAAAGACTTGCCACATGAGCTACACAAGTACGGACGTGTGTGCGTACCAACGTGGCGTTGGAGCTCGTAATTCTCCCGAAAAGTTTTCTTGCAGATGCTGCACATCAGCGATTTCTTCTTTTTGGTCAAAGACTTCAGATGGCTCTTCATGTGCTTCACCAATGCATTGTAGCGCCAGAAAATCTTAGGACAGTTGTTGCAACTGTAGTAGGACCTGCCCTGCACTTTTCCATTACTCATTGAATCCTCTGCGGAGGTAGAATGATATTTTTTATGATTGTCTAAAGCTTCCTGGCTTCGGAAAGATACACCACAGTTTTCGCACTCAAAATTAGCACTCATGCCATCATGTTCAGGTTTGTGAGACAAGCGTATGTGTGTTTGGACATATTCCACTGTTGTATACCAGCTGCAACACAGACTACACTGAAACGATTTGATGTCAGCGTGGGTCGCAGCATGGCGGATGTAAGCCATGCGGTTCTCAAATGATTTTAGGCACTTGTGACATTTGTATACACCTGATTCTAAAGCTTCAAAAGCATGCTCTTTGGCCTCATGGCTCAAAAGGGCAGTCTGCAAGCCAAAAGACCGTTTGCACTTACTACACTTGAAACCTGGACATTTTTTCGTCTTAACATGTTTCTTGATGTCAGCGACATTCGCGAATGTTTCTCCACAGCAATGGCACTGTATGGTGAATTTACTGTTGAAGAAATGATCATTTCGGTGTTTGACAAAATCCTTGACATCCAGTAATCTATCTCCACACACATCACAGTCAAAGTACTCATCATCTACGTTGTACTCTTTTGTATTGTCCACTTCGACAAAGTCTTTAATTTCTGACACTGCCTCTGGTGATTCAACTTTCTCCAGCATCCTCTGAGTGCCTTTTGCATTCTGAACTTCTTCCTCACTGTGGTACTTACTGTGAAAAGTGAGGGCCTGATCATCTGCAAACTCTTTATTGCAAACTTTACATTGGACCTTTTTTCTCAAGCACTTTTCTTTATCAATGCCATGGATTTTCTTCAGATGCACAAAAAGATGATCAGGATGCACATAGCGATGACCACACATCTTGCACAGGAATGGTTTGTTCTTTGCATGAGTACCTGCATGACGAGAGAATTTGAGCATAGAGGTAAAGGTTTTCGGGCAGTTTTCACACGACAAGACTTCATCGCTGGGGTCAGAGTGTGCTCTTGCAACATGCACTAGAAGCAAGGCTTCCAATGCAAACGATCGGGGGCACTGAGTGCAGCGATAACCTTCACATCCTTTCTCTTGTAAGTGGGCCTTAAGCAGGTTCAGACTCACAAAGGTCGTGTTGCACTTGTCACAGTCTACACTGTAGTTATCATTGGATGGGTGAAATTCACGGTGATTTCGCAGTGCCTTGGCAGACGAAAGCCTCACTCCACACTCATCACAGTCAAACGTTTGATCAGTATCGACAGACTCTGGCTGATCAAACTCTAACTCCTCTTCTGCTTGTTTTTCTAGTTCTTCGTCATCTTCAGGAGTATCCGAAAATCCCTCTATATTATCATTGTTTTCCTCATCAGATGGAATCTTTACCAGCTTGACTCTCAAAGAAGTGACTGCTCTCTTTTTCTGCTTTTCCTTGGTTTTGAGTGTGGAAAAACCATTTGACGTTTTGCATTTTTTCTTCAGAGCAACAGCTACATTTACATTTGCAGAAACAGACCTTGTTTGACGTCTTTGAAATGCTTCTTCCTGCTCATTTTTATGTGATGTTACATGAGCCGTGAACTTGACTTTGTTAGAAAAGTCTTTGAGACAGATCCCACATCGATATTGTTTCATTTTTGTAGGATGTATGGTTTTCACATGATGTCCTAAATCTGAAACTTCTGAAAATTGCAGAGAGCACACAGAACAATTATACCAAGACTTTTGCTCTTTGTCACAAGTTTTTAGGTGATTTAACAGTAGATTGTTCTCATGAAACCCTGATCCACAAAGACCACATTGAAAAGCCTTTGGGATATTGTGCTGACCAACATGGTCTGAAAGGAGACTTGTGCTATCGAACACAGCAGAGCAAATTGAGCAGCGAAACATGTGAACCCGGTGATTCTGCTGACATGAATGTCTAAATAAGAGATCCATGGACTGGAATACTTTATCGCATACAGCACATCCATATGGAGCTAAGGATCCACTTGAATTTGATTCCTTCTCTGACACAGACTTTCTGCACTTTTGCCGCTTCAGGTGATAGTGAAGAGATTCGGGATCTGCAAACTCCAGGGAACAGCTTGGGCAATTAAGTGCCTTAGAAGCTTGACTTTTGCCATTAACTTCCAGCCTCATTCTCTTCCTTCTAGGACGAGACTTCGAGTCCTGCTGCACCTTTCTCTTGCTCCTCAATTTCTTACCCTTGCCTGAGAGAGAAGCAGTTGGCTCAACCTCTTCCCCATCAGAGCCTAGGCTCACAGAAACGCTCTGGGTTTTTAAAAGAATATCCTCCACAGGAGCAAGGTCATCCCCAAAGGTGAAAGCTCCTGTTGTGTCCGAACCGGGTGGCAGAAGCTGCTCTGACTCACCACAAACTTCCTCCATCTTGATCTCAGCACCCTCCTCCTCCATAACTTCCAGCTCAATCTGCTGAACACAGAATACACACTAGAGACACAAAGACAAAAAGCAGCAAAGAACAAATGTCAAGCCATGCCTCTTTTCCATAGGAGACCTGGTACATTTGCATCAGGACTCCTTGTGGTTGCTCACATCTCGCTTTCCTCTGAAATACAAATAAAGGGGTCAGAGCAAGGAGGATAAATACAAAGCACATGTTTTTCAAATTTATTCAATAGGTGAAACATTTTTCATGCAGCCAACACATACGTAAAATTGAAAAAACCAACAAAGTTATGAAAACAATGATACTTAAAAGGCATGCATGAATAAGAACAAACTATATCACAAGAGATGTTATAATTTACCAAGCGTTCACACTCAATGCTGAAATCAATGTGATTGGTACTTTTCTACCAAAGTAAAGTACATAACACCATTGAGAAGAGAGAGAACAGAAATATAAATTCTTAAATCAATTTTCTAGTTTAAAATAAGAAATCAGTACAATTGACTTCATAAGAGAATGACAACTATACACACCAAAAGGGCGATGTTTACCAAAATGGGCATTAAACTAAGTTTGGACGCTTTAGACACAAAAACTGGCAACGCTGAAAGTATAACCCAGCCTGAATCAGCATAGTAACATACTCCTACTTAAGTTGAACTTTCTGAACGGAAGATAGATCAGACAATACACTCATAATATACATTTGTATAAAAACAAATTTTACTGCATGCATGAAAAAAGTCATCCTTAAAATCCCACTCAGAAGTCTAAAGGGACTAAATGCACTAAGTTCCTGCATTTCAGACCATTCTTTACTGAACAAAAAACTTTTCATAGATCATCAACGCACATATGCATATGATCACCTCTCCACTCTATGAGGTACAATGTTTGCCCCATGTGCAAGGACCTCAAACAATAGAGGATCATGCCCAGGTCTGAACTCTTCAACACCTTTGATTTCTCAAAAAATCGAACTCGCATCATTAGCCTTCTGTTTTAATTATTGGGACAACCATTTTCTTCATATTATGCCTATCTTTCTTGATATTTAAACTATAACATAAATAAAGTTCATATATATAAAATAAAAGAACAGTTCTTATTAGATAGTCTTTTTTTTCTTTCCCCACCTATCAATCCATTCGTCAACCACAAACACACTCTCTCTTTCTAATTTTCCCTTTCTCCCTCATCTCTTCTCCAGGTTCGCCCAACCTCTTTCAACCCCGGCCCACCCCTCGCCCCCAACCCCCCACACCATAGCCCAGCCCTAGCATTATTCTATAAAAAGAAAGACACTGCAGTTTAACACTGCAGTTTGCGGAGATCTGACCATTATCGGTGGTCATCTTTAGCTTTCACCTTGCATGCCGCTTGCAGCACCACAAAGAGAAAGAAAAGAGTCCATTTGTTCGTGCAAATTTGTAGTACAAATCAAAGACATGAAGCTGCAGCGAGCACCTAGCATACCTCTGTGGTAGGCCCAAATATAAACGTATTTCCGCCATCTATTGTTGTCGTCTTCCGGGGTCCCCCCCCCCCAAGACTCTTGGGTTTGCCTCGCCAGTAATTGTTGACTAGATCTTGCCGTGATTGGGTTTTTTGGGGGTATTAATTTATTTTATCTTTCATAAACATTCTAAGCGATTTTCGTTTCCCTAAATTTACCTTCTCCTCAAAGTTGTACACACACACACAAGCGTGTGCGCACACAAACACACGCAAACACACATAATACAAGCACACGCACACACAGGCCTGCACGCACACAAGCCCAAGAGCTCGGTGATGAAACCCAGTGACATAGACAAGAGGATAGTTAGAGAACGTTAGGAGTACGCCATTGGCCGATATTTATAATAGCAGCCATCTTGTTTGGGTCATAAAATAGGCCTACTGTTCTTCATTCTGAGAAAAGACAAAAGAAGTTCTAGACCTACTGTCTCACTGTCTGATCTGAAAAAAAAAAGTGGAGTAAAAAAAGAAAGCTTTTTTTTCTTCATTTTAGCAAAAAGTAGCAAAGTGTATGACAATACTCATTATATTTTATATTATATATATGTATGTTAAAGAAAAGGTAAAACAAGATGGCTGTTACTATAAATATCGGCCAATGGCGTAGGCCCCTGCTCCTAACGTTCTCTAACTATCCACTTGTGTGACATAGTCCATCGCGCCCTCGGCAAAGCGGGCCCCGCCATGATGAGATCTAATCAACTGGCGAGGGAAGCCCTGGGAGATGACAAAAATAGATGGCAGAAATAGTCAAATACGTCATCTATATTTGGGCCAATCACAGAGATGTGCTAGGTGCTCGCTCCAGCTAGATATGTAAATCAAAGACCCTCAGCTGTGTCAGGAAACAGTTCAAAGCAGTAGCAGACTGGCTCTATTTTCTAAATGGCCGTCTTTATTCGGACTCGAGTCCGAATAACATTTTTTCAAATTCGGACTCGAGTCCCAATAAAAAAATTTCTTATTCGGACTCGAGTCCGAATACGTCAAAATGTTATTCGAACTCGGGTCCGGAAAAAAGGAAGTGTCTTCGTTCTATAGATCTAACGTTCAGTGCTTCCTATTTTCCGCCATTTTTTAGTTTCCCCCACACCTTTTCTGCCGATCCGATGCCCGCCGCCTCATTGATACATCCCCCCCACCCCACCCCCCATGTTTCCCACTTTCTTTGTTGTAGAAAAAAGTAAAATTGAAGATTAGCAGACCACCTGGCACCTGCATAATATGAGCTGTGTAAAAAAAAAAAAAGACTGATTCGTTCAAATACACAAGCCTGTGTCATCTCGATTGTTTACCTAGAAAAAGTTGTGTTGCTGTGTAGAGCTGAGCATACGGCAACTTTTGATTCCATAGACTAGCGCACAATTCATTACGCAGATCTACGTCAAGACTAGCTTATAAATTATTGTAATAATGATCAGTTGCCGGGGGAAAAAAGACTGACGCATATGCGACGTTCAACACCCGGACTGATAGTGCCCCCCCACCCCCCTCTCCAACACGCACACAGCCTCATGTGTGCAGGCCGCCCATCCGACCCCGACACACGCTAACGAGCCTTCTTTAATTGCTTCTGATGACCTCTTGACAAATAAACATTTATTCTAGAAGGGAGTGTATACAGACCCGGTAACCGGGAACAAAGTCACAAAGTATACAGACCCGGTAGGGGAACTCTTTTGTGATTTCGGAAAGTTTCAGCGCCTCTTGGCTCAGGGTAGACCTAGGTTCTTCTGGTAGATCTATGGCCTAGGCTAGGTCTAGATCTAGATCTAGATCTAGGTCTAGATCTAGATCTAGATCTAGGTCTAGATCTAGATCTAGATCTAGACAGACAGACATAAATCCTTGGTCTAGTTTCGAGGCTAGCCTAGATCTAGATCTAGATCTAAATGAAGATTGCGGATGTCTTTTTGATGAACAATCGTTTTTCCTCCGTTTTGGAGTTGGAGGAATTACAATTTGAAGAAAAGAACAATGTCATAATTTCTCTCGAGCAGTCATCCTCTCTATTTCTCTCTCGCTCTGTTGCTCGCATTCTCTTTTTCTTTGTTTGTCTCTGTCTTTCTTTCTCCCCACCTATTTCCCACTAGACGTCTATATATCTCTCTCGTTCCCTCCTGCCAACTGGGGCATGTCATACATTTTGCTAGCACTTCCCCCTGCTCTCTCTCTCTCTCTCTCTCTCTCACACACACACACACACACACGCACACACACTACCGGGTCTGGGCGCTGAAACTTTCCGAAATCACAAAAGAGTTCCCTTACCGGGTCTGTATACTTCGTGATTTTGTTCCCGGTTACCGGGTCTGTATACACTTCGATTCTAGAAACTTTTCAGGCCGGCCTCAAATTCATCATAAGATAAAAACTCGGCTCGTGCACAAAACGCCATTTTGCCCTTTAAGTGATCCCGGTCTCTACTCAGCCTGAGGCGAGTCACGAGTGAGGCAGGACAGGAAGCCGGAGTCACGAGTCACAGGAAGTTGGAAGTGATGTCATGCTGGACAAGAATCAGAGTCCAAATAACATTTTTTCACATTCGGACTCGAGTCCGAATAGTCACTTCGTTTCTAAATCTAGATTAGATTCTAGATCTAGATCTTCTAGATATTCTAGGGTGATTTTGTAGTTTCGTTCTTTAAAGTTAAAGTGAAGAGTAAGGAGGTTCAGGGGGGCAGTAGTAGGGTAGGGGAGTTCAGGAGGGGCATGCCCTGAATTTTACCATAATTTATTGTTGTTTTGCTGTTAGGTAGCATCCCTGTTCTTTGTGTTGCCTATTTGGTTATCAAGACTTCTGGATTTCTTCTCTGGGTGTAAACAAATGTCACCCGGTTCTAGAAATCTAGATTCTTGATAAGGCTAGATTTATAAATTATATTGCAAAACTGATCCCAGTGCCGCTATTCTGGTAAACAAAAAGGAAAACACTGTCATGCTTAATGTGGCATCTAGATCTAGATCTAGATTTAGTGTTTGCAAAATGAGTGTGGTTTACGTTTGATGAAGTGGGACACTCACTGACTCTGGCAGCAGACTTGTTTTGTTTCTGTCGCCCAATGAGACAAACAATAAACAAGGCTCAAGGAACGCACCGGAAGAAAGCACTGGGTTGTCCAAGCGTAGAAGTTAAAAAAGTACAGCGGAACGCTCTTTGAAAACAAATACTCTATAAACCCAGAGACCTTCATATTTCTTTTTTTTACAAATTACCTTCTCTCATTGTCCGTTATTCATTTCAAAACAGTAAAATATGTTAAAATCATGTGATTGTATAACTCTAATATTGCTGGGTTGTTTTTTTTTATAGATCTAATCTAGTACATTACAAGTAGTAGACTAGATCTAGAATCTAGATTTAGATGAGTCTAGATCAAGGAGTTTAGAACTTACTTACTTTTAATCTCCTTGATCTAGATCTAGATCTAGATCTAGATGTAGATGTAGATATTTATCGGTCTTGTAGCCAGTGACCAATTAGATCTATAAAATTACTGATTAAATGTTGCTACTGAAAAATACACGTCTCAGTGAAATGAACTAGATCTGGATCTAACATAGAATCTGAATGCAATTGGCAAGAAAATACAACCGTCGAGAGGTTAGCTCACCCGCTTGTGAACAAAGGTTTCATTTTGCCCCTCTGTTGGGCCCAGCAACGGAATTGTACTTCTCGCAATTCCAACTGTCACATAAGCGCACTCGTCGCTTCGCACTTCGTGGACAGTGGCCGAGTGTCCGAGTCCGAGTACACGGGTGTTGAGCGCTGAGGCCGACGGTGGCGAGACGTTTCAAGCGGTGCTTTGTCTACCGCCACCGAAGTGACCTGGCTGGACAAGCCGATACGAACGTTTCCTTAGCTGCTCCAGGTGCCTTATGATGCAAATAGCCTAATGCTTGTACATTTTGCATTTATACTTTCTTCTTCTTCTTCTTCTTCTTCTTCTTCTTCTTCTTCTTCTTCTTCTTCTTTTTCTTCTTCTTCTTCTTCTTCCTTTTTCTTCTTCTTCTTCTTCTTCTTTAAAGGCGGGCGTATCGTCGGCACGAGACCTGAAAATTATAATTACGTAACGTGTTGGTATGGGTCACACTGTCAATTTAACGTGGAAACATGGGGACTATCCCGAAAATGCAGTTTTGAGAAAATTGAAGGTAAAGTTTTTTTAACTCTTGTTCAGTTTCTTTAAAAGACAAGGAGAGTTTTCGCTTAAATCAAACAAATACACAACACAAAAATGAAACACTTCTCCAATGCCCATTTTAATTTTTGGTTTAGACCTAGGTCAAGATTTTTGGAGACCCCCAAAATATGGCAGTAGCTAGCTCGCTTGCCCTTAAAAGGGACCATATAATAATATTTATAGGCCTAAAGCATGTCTTGAGAGAAATAGATTTTTACTCTGTATGCACTTTATCTTGGTAGGCCATCACAAAAGAACCGCCAAATCAATTGGCCAATTTTTAGGGTTGTTTTGTTCAAAGAAATGAATCTGGGTGGGAAAAAAATCCGGGCAGACTATTTGTCCAGATTGAAAGCGAAAACAATTTCTTTGGCCTTGCCTACCCAGTCCCTTCCCATGTGGAGTGGAGTGTGTTTGTTTGTGGACCGTGGAGTGTCGAGACTAGCTCTAGAGATCTAAATATCTAGACTAGATCTAGATTTCTAGTGACTGGTGGTTGTTTATGCCGTTGTGGACTCTGGAGTGTCGAGATTAGTGACTGGTGGTTGTTTATGCAGTTGTGGACTCTGGAGTGTCGAGATTAGTGACTGGTCCACTGACTGGTGGTTGTTTATGCCGTGAAGATGGTAAGTCAAACAAATCAAAGTGTAGGCCTAGATCTAGATCTAGAATCTAGTCTAGATCTAGATCTAGATCTAGGTCTAGATTTTCTAGATCTAGATTCTAGATTAGAAGTGGCTAGCCGTACTTAAGTACGGCTAGACTGAGAGTCTAGCCGTACTTAAGTACGGCTAGACTTAGACTTAGCCGTACTTAGATCTAGGTTTGGCCCTATCGCAAGCCTGTTAAGTACACAGGTCTCATTAGATCTATATCTAGCAATTATTCAGGTTCAAATACATGCAAGCCAGTAAGGCACCTTTTGGTTTTGTCTGAAATACAAATAATTTAGGCATAGCAAACTAAAAATTTCATTTACAATTCAGCCATCGCCATCAATATTAAGTACGGCTAGCCTGGCTGTCTACCCGTCCTTAAGTACGGCTAGCCTGGCTGTCTACCCGTACTTAAGTACGGCTAGACTGCCAGTCTAGCCGTACTTATCTTAGGCCCAATTAACATTAGAAAACAGGAGGTTTAAAATACATGCACTGTCATTAAGGCACCTGGTTTCGTCTCAAATACAAATACTTTAGACTTTAGGTACTGCACACAAAAAATTTATGTTTACAATTCAGTAGGCCTATTTTTTTAAAGGCCGGCACTGTTTCTCCGAACGTTCGGGAAAATAAAGCTGGGCACTATTTCTCCGAACACTCTGAAATCACACCCTTTCCCGCATATTTCGGATAATAAAAATAAAATATAGATCTATAATTATATTATAGGCCTACCAAAGATTGTTCGTATACAATATGGTTCAATCGGTCCAAAAAATGTCCGTATTTATATAAAGAAATGCTACAGTTCCAAACAGTTTTTCGCTACAGATATGACGTGTGGCCTATGAAGGGTGCTGCTCTTAAACTTAATGTGTTGCGTTCACTCGTGAGCTGTCTAGATCTAGATCTATGGAGGGTTATTGATAACGACACATAGAGCTAGCATCTGCGTTTGTCGAGGCCGCGACCAATCAATCGTGGCTCGATTTTTTGGTCCCCGAAAAAGTCCAAAAAAAAGAAAAGAAAATGAAACTCTTTACTTTTGAAAGAAAGTTCACTTAGCTTCACTTCGTCTCTTTCTCACTTGTTGTCACCACGTTGATTTGTCGAATACGTTACAGTTACATACGATTTGTATTGCTGTTCCTCTCTTATTTTTCGTTCATTTTTCCCTCTTTGTGGTGTTATATTTTGTTGGTGTGTATTTTTTTTTCTTGTTATTGTTCTGATGTGTTGTTTTTCTATTAATTTTTTTTTGTTGGGGAAAAGGGGTTGTATAGTGTAACGTCATTTAATTTGATGTTCCTACAAAAGGTATTGTGTAACGTCATTTAATTTGATGTTCCTACCTTCATTAGATTCTAAATATATATACCTGTATAGATTTAAATGTGCTATGTTAGAGCGTTCCACCAAAACCAATTACATGTACTGACACTGGCAGGCCCCCTGTGTGTGGTTCCATAATTTCCATGCAATATCCTGTACTTTTTAAAACAAATTACGCACATTTAGGGTTAAAACAGTCAATCTTCTTCGGACAGGTGGACACACGCCCTTATTTGTTAATTGTTGTGGTTGTTTCTGGGCTGTTCTAGTTTTGATTTCATTCTGTTGTGAAACCTTTCTTTTTCACGTTTTTACACTCATCTAAAAATCTCTAGACTAGATCTATCTAGCTCTTGAAAATTGAAATAGATCTGAACCCAAAAATTTGCTCCGTTTTTTTTTTTTATGGACGATAACCGTCCACTCAATAGAAAAGAGGGTCAGATTTCTCCGTCTCTCGGGTGCCTCAGGCAGTACCCGCCTCGCTAAACCAGTGGGCACACGGCCGGAGGAGAAGCTGAGAAGAGATACCACCTTTGATTTGCTCCTTCCCAGACCTCGCAGAATGACGGAATGAAAGTTGGCGCCGAGCTCTCGCAAATAGGCAAACAATCACGACCAGAGCGGAAGCCGGAAACCGTTCGGAGAAATATAGATCGGCACTATTTCTCCGAACGTTCGGAGAAATAGTCACTTCGTTTTTTTAAATGGTCAGTCTGGCCATCATATTTAGAATAAGTACGGCTAGACTGCAAGTCTAGCCGTACTTAAGTACGGCTAGCCAACCAGTCTAGCCGTACTTAAGTACGGCTAGACTGCCAGTCTAGCCGTCATTAAGTACGGCTAGCCTCTTCCTTCTAGATTTACTTCAGATTCATTTTTAAATCTTTGTTGATTGTTGTATGTCCGAGTTAAGTCAAGTTAAGAGTCTTAACTACATCTAGATCTAGATTATATATCTATATCTAGATCTAGAATCTAGAAATCTAAATTTAAAGTCTAAATTAAACTAAATTTTAAAATCTAGAATTAGAATCTCTAGACGGAAGGACTTCCGTAATGAGCGACCACCCCATCAAACACAATAAAGTAGAGGCCTAGCCCTAGACCTAACCCTAACCCTACTCTTACCCCTACCCTAGAATTTCCTTCTAGGACTGTAATTACTTGTGTTAAAAGTCAGTCAAAAGATTGCACTCTCATTGCCCAATGGCAGTGTCTAAGTACACGGTAACCGACAGCTCAGAGTCTTTCCATCACCACTACAGTACAGCATCATCATGACTTCCACCACCATTTGTCTTTCCACATTTTTAATTTCATTTTGTTTTGTGTTATAGTTTTTCTGTAATTATGTTTTTTAAAATCATATCGCACAAAACCGATAGCTGTGGCCTGTTCCCAACACCTCTTCCCCCCGCAAGCCGAGAGCGCGTTATATCTACGCGCAATCTCATTGGTCGACATAATTAACTTTGCCCCGGGCAAGGTCGGCTCAACTTAATCGTCTTGTTCATACTAATGAGGCAGGGAGGGCCAGTTTAGATAGATCTAGTAACTGGTTATTAAAGCTCACGTCTCGACTGTTATCATTATATCGAAAAAATGTTAGTAAATGCTGGAAATATTTAGGAACAAGGGTCGGAAGTCGGAACGGACGTCATGTGGACTCAATTCAGAGTCTGAATATAATTTTTGTCTATTTGGACTGGAGTCTGAATAGTCATTTCGTTTCTTCTATCTTGGGACGTCATGGGTTCTCAAGCTGGGGGGGGGGGGGGGGGGGGGGGGGTTAAAGTTTTGGTTTAAATAAAAATCTGGGGGTTTGATGTTTTGCAATTAGACCAACATCTAGAGCTAGATCTAGATCTAGGCCTATCAAGATGTTCTAGATTCTAGGTTTTTAATAAATGAAGCTACTGCAAGCACCTAGCACACCTCTGTCATTGGCCCAAATATAGATGATGTATCCGCCATCTACTATCTTTGTCGTCTTCCCGGGCTTCCCTTGCTAGTTGACTAGATCTCACCGTGCCGGACCCGCTTTGCCGAGTAGCGCACGATGGGCTACGTCGCTAGATCTAGGTTTCATCGCCGACTGATTGGGCAATGTGTGCCTGCGATTGTGTGTGTGTGCAACTTTTAGAAGATGGTAAATTTATGGAACAAGAATTGCTGAGATTGTTTAACAAACACGGCAAAATCTAGTCAACTGGCGAGGGAAACCCAAGAGTCTTGGGGGAAACACCGGAAGACCACAAAAATAGATGGCGGAAAGAGATCATCTAGATATACATTTGGGCCAATCACAGAGGTGTGCTAGGTGCTTGCTGTAGCTTCATGTGTTTTTAATTATTCAAAAAATTGATTTTTGCAATAGTTTTAGTGAACACATCAATGGTGGGATCTGCAGCAAACTTGTTTGATACTTGTATTAAAGTCAAAGCAGTGCTTGGCAACTGACAAGCGGATAGCTAGAGAACGACAACTAAACACCATTGACCGATATTTATAGTAACCGCCATCTTGTTTGACCTCGCAAGGGGGATGCCCGCCGCGTCATCTGATCGTGATTCTAAAAGAATGTTGTCTGGTATATTCCAATAGCTTCCCTCTTTGAGTCTTTACTAGTGGTTCCCCTTACTATGTATACTGCTTTTGCACCTCACAGTATCCATTTGCAAACCTTGCAGTCTTGAATTAGATCCACTCGATTAACAGCTCAGCATCCTGTCGAGTCCAATCTCTTGTAAGTGCTGAATTAAATTGCGTACAAAATTTCAAAAGAAACAATCCGGATTGAAACGGTCGATAATTTGCACTGCGTCGTTGAACTTTATTTGAACTTGCTTTCGTATGTAGATCGAGGCCTACTCTTACTCTTCTTCTTCTTCTCAGTTTACGTAGTGTACAGCTTCAGAACCAATCTGGGCGGAAGAAGGGCACTGCACACAATCACAGACAACCGAACCGAACAGTTCTGCAAGTTGCAAAGAAAATAATCCGAGTCGGCAGGTCATGTTGCCACCATGACTGACAAAGTGGGCATCCCCCCAATGATGTCACACAAGATGGCTGTTACTATAAATATCGGCCAGTGGTGTTTAGTTGTCGTTCTCTAGCTATCCGCTCGTGTGCATCTGTGTGTGGGAGTGAAAGTAGAAATTCACCATAATTATTATTAAAACAATTTCTTCAATTAGGAAAAAACAAAACAAATGCAGTGTAGACTACTGTACTCGTCTACAGTCAAACCTTCTGTTACAACCACCTGTGGAAGACAATCACCTGTACAAACCACTACTTCTCACATACTTCCTTGCATAATTTTCTATAAATGCAGTCTAGCCTAAGAGGTAACCTGTCAAAGATGACCATTTTAGTCCTCGACAGTGCATGGTTGTTGTGTAGGACAAATTATAATGTTCCTATATTATTAAAAAAAAAATTTTTTTTGATTAGTGTTTTACGGCACTTGTAACTGCATAAGGTCATATGAGTGTGCGGGACACATTAAACATTTTCAGCTGGTATGAAATTTTGAATTTTGCCCGGGTGGCGGCCGAAGCCTACTCTTATCGTTTTTAGACCATCAAGGGATCTTTAACGTGGGCAACTTGCACAAGGAACCTCTAAGATTTTTCGCCCTTGTCCGAGAAGGCTAGGTGTAGATCTTTCCTACCAGAAGATCAGGGGTGCGGCTGAAAGACAACAGTGGGAAGGAGCCAAGAAGTAACAGTAGAAAGGCTGCTGAAAGAGTCAGGAGCCCAGAGGAGGGGGCAAAAGTGAGGGGGTGGGGACAGAAAATGGAGACGAAAGCAGGCGACAGAACATTGCTAGAGAGCGCAAAAGGAGACAATTTTAGAAAGAAAATGTTTCTGTCCCTATGCGGATTCGAACCTGGGACCTTTAAATGAGAGGTGAACACCTTAACCTCAAGGCCACGAGAACGCCCCTATTTCCCTTTAGAAAAATGTAATGAGATAGTTGGATTGAATAATAATAATTGAAAAATCTGATAAAACTGTTGTCTGTTATAGATAGCATCAGTGAATGTAAATTCTGTCTTGGGGGCCTTTTTTATTGCTGGCCAGCCAGAGGACCACTTGCTTTTCCTGGCACGCATCCTAACTACAAAAATTCAGACCATTGTCATCGTGTGTCTTGTCCAAGATGCTGTACCTATAAATAACATTTATTGTGGATTAAATTCCAGCTGTTCAAGTGTCTCTTGACTTTAGTCTTCGACCTTAAATTAACTCTAACTGCAACCCAACTTAATTTTGACTCACCAAGTTTTGTTGCCAGTGTGGATATAATAATGGTACAAGTCTCAGGATACAGTTAGGCTTGGGACATAAAAAAGCGTGACATATCATGCTGCCCGTCAAAGAATTACTTTGAGCTTGATTTGAACTTTCTTCAATGACTCTGTGCTGTCTGGCTAGTTATTAATTAAGATTGTTTTTTGCTTCTTTTTTTCAGGGGAAAGATAAACGCACCAAAAAGTTTGCACAAGTAAAGAGGCTTTTGAGCCTAAAGGACTCAAGATTGTGAGTAGACTAATAACATTGACTGTGTTACTCATACAATTATTGTAATGCTGTCAGTGATAATTATATTATATGATAAGAGAAGAAAAAAAGGTACTTAAAAAAATAATCAGTATGGACCAGTATCATTTGTTGAATGTTTGTGTGACAGAGAAGCTAAAACAAGGACTTGGAAGAAGATGGTCAAATCATTTTCATAGAATGGTTTGATGCTTGCTTTTTGTTCACTTGAGTTTCATGATAAAGCCAATGGCTGTGTTCCAATTTCTCTCAAAATGTTATAATCATGTTTGGATGTTTGGTCAACTTCAATGTCAGTTTTGAAAGTACCTTATCTGCATGTTTATGTCAATTTGACTATGCTTGCATCACAGAATTTCATGCTTCAATTCACTTTCACTTCCACAGAAAAGCTAAAGACCGGGTCAAGAAGAGAAAGAGGAAGGCAAACCCAGAGAACATATCAGTGAGAGAGTTGTAAGTGTCATGTTTTGTTTACTTTTTTTCTGCTTTTTGTTTTCCTTCAATGTTTGAGTGTAGAAAAAATCTGCTACACAGCTGACAATGTAATAGTCATTCTTCTTTTGTTCTCTGAGTGGAGCAAAAAATGATAACAGCTTTTTTTTGTTAGGTGGGGGTTATATTTTGTTAGTGTCAGTCCATTTTCGCCCTCGTCAATTTCTGGAGGTTTCCAGACAAAGCTGTAATTCGTGTAAAGACATTTAGGGGGGTACAGTTGAGTTCCGTCTATTATGTACTTCCTAGTTTTTAACTGAAACATAACAAGGGACCAAGTTTTGGTGCTGATTTGGGCGCTCTCTTTTTCTGCAATTTTCTCAGAACTGAAAAAATGACCAAGGCATATACACGTTGAATGAAGCTGATAATTTTACACAGTACTTGGTTATTTTAAAAACTAATTTGTAATTTTTTAGGGGGGGGGGGGGGTTGAAAGTTGAGAGAATTGAAAACAATCTTTCGAGGTGGTGTCTGCCATGGAGCATGATATAGCTTTAAGAACTGGATGGCTGTATGGTGAACAGGATTTTATGGTCTGTTCTGGGGGTGGTGTTCTTTCATCAGCTGATTCAATGTATAAGCTTTCATGTGTAATTACTAGAATGTCAGTGTTGTCTGATGTGCAGTGTTTTTCTTTATGTTATAGCCACGGTTGTCACAAAATGTTGTGTGTTGGTTTGTTTTTATGTTAACTGCCTTGTTTCCCCCCAGACCACAGTCTTCATCTGCGATGTACTTCTCCTACAACACTCAGTTGGGACCTCCATTTCATATTATTGTGGACACAAACTTCATCAACTTTTCCATAAAGAATAAGCTGGATGTGGTCACGAGCATGATGGACTGTCTCTATGCAAAATGTAAGAGCTAATCACATTTAATTTTTATACATTGATCTGTTGAAAACAGGCATTTTTTATTATGCTACTTTACAAGGCTTGCAATAGCCTTTAAGATCATTCACTGCTCAGCACTTTTGCCCTTTTCCCCCATAGTCCACAGTCCTTGTGGCAATTATGGCAGACATTAGATTTTACCCCTTGAAATGTGTATTTTTTTGTACCTTCAGAGTCTTTTTAGTTCTTACATTTTTCCACTTTCTTGACTATTTTGTGGTATTCTTTAAACTTAAGTAACAAGTATGTATTTATGCATATGAACAGTTTTGCATCAAAATACGTTGTAGTTGTATCCATTTGTCAGATGTGGAGAATACCAAAGATTTCTATTCTTCACCAATTTTCAGAAAAAACCGTAGCAACTCTTGTTTCAAGAGTGATGATGATATTCAATTAAGTTAATATTCGTTTTATGGTAGAATCCACATTGGATTGTATTCCTTCAAGTTGATGTGGTTTTCGCACGCTTTTGATAAAATGTTTCTTCTCCATTGATTTTATTAGAGCATGAAATGCAACAAATGGGTCTAAAATAAATTTGAGTTCATGTCATCAATTAAATGAAAACTGCGGATCTGACCTTGAAATTCATAAAACTGCCTTGATGACAGCAAAACTAACAGAACTGGTTATATGTTATTAAAATATTTGCCCCAGTAAGGTAAATGCAACATTTTAAATCCTTTACATTCTGCACTTTTGTCTAAATAGCTTGTTTTTGTTGGCATCAGACTGTTCAGTCACTTCTCTTTGCAATGAAGAGACAACTATTTAGTATGAAAAACATGTGCCTTGATAGTACCTGATATTTGCTTTAAATATACTGTATTGTATTTTTAAAATGTTTTTCAGGTATTCCTTACATAACAGACTGTGTAATGGCTGAGCTGGAAAAGCTGGGAAGAAAGTACAGAGTTGCTTTGAAGTGAGATGTTTTACATTTTGATTTCTTCACTTGAAGTTCAGTTATTCTCACTATTCTGACTCCACATTCTCTGTCTGTAAATGCTCGCTTATGCAAGCTCAATGTTGCATGCACATCCCTGATTGACTGCTTCAGTATGTTTTACTGAATATCACTTTCCAGGACGCCACAAATAAGATCCTTCCTGTATTTTGTTGATTTTTTTTTTTGGGGGGGGGGGGTTGTTTGTTTCAGTACTAGTGAGTGTATTTCTGCAAATTTAAGGAACATGCTTGTGAAATTTGTTACAGAAGTTTGAAAACATGTATTATCATTTCAGCATACACGGATTAGTATTTTGAATCATGATATTTAAAGGTATTGAACAGATATAAGGCTGGTCTCAAGGAGTTCTAAGACTAAGAGGCAACATATAATATAGTTAGTTCTGGCTTAAGTTTTCATCTTGCGTATAGGTGGGGATTGTCCACCTCGGTATGATTTTACAGTAATCATATTATGATTTTTTTTTCCTTTCCAAGGGACTTGTGCTCCCTAATGCAATCCAATCAGTAGTTGTTTTTTTTTGCTTTTGCCCGTTTTCTTCTCTTGCATGCTTTTTCTATTGAAGTGAGGGCTTTATGTTGTCAGTAGCTAATATTGATTTAAATTGAAAATGGTCTTTTATGACAAAGTTAAAAGCCCGTTATTACCTTCTTTTTTTGATGACATCAATGCTACAATCATGATCAGATAGCCCTGAAGTGTCTTCCATTTCAAAACTGATGACATTTGAGTAAAAAAAACAATAGAATAGATAATGTTATTACAGTTATGGAAATTGGCTGTCGAATATAGTCATATGGTAGCTTTTTTTTCAGTAGTGAACAGGTTGTCTATATTCCACCAGTTTTGTCAGTTTGTTGTGACTAATTCAAGATAAGATAAATGTCAGTTGATTCATGCAGCCTCTGAAAGTGTGTCAACGGCTCTTGCAGTCAGGTTTATTTATTTTCAATATTCAGAGTCGCAAAACTTTAATAATAACAGCACCCAGCAACCTATCATTACGATAAGAATGTGAAGAAAGAGATAGGAGAACTTGTGGTTACTGATTTCAAATTAACTTATTCCTCTCACTTTTTTGTCTCTCAGAATTGCAAAAGACTCAAGATTTCAACATTTAACTTGCCTGCACAAGGGTACCTATGCTGATGACTGCATTGTTCGGAGAGTCACAGAGGTAAGAGTCGATTTCCTAAAGCTGTTTCTGGTTTTATCATTTGCCCTCAATTCATTGAAAGGGAAATATGAGAAAAGTGTACAGTCAAATCTGTTCTAGATGGTTACCCGTTGTCGAGAAGAAAAGTGGTCTTTTTAAACAGGTGGTCCTCTTGAACAGGATCCTTATAATATAAAAAACCACAAGGGAGTGCAGTGAGAAGTTGTCATTAAAAATACATTTCTGAAGGTGAGGGACTGTTGCAGAACGAGCGCCCACTAGATCTATGAGACAAAGTGGAATAGAGGGCCACTTTTAAGGATAGGTAGGGGTAGGAGTAGAGTTAAGGTTAGGGTTTGGATTAGGTCTCTTCTTTATTGTGATTGTTGGGGTGGTCTCTCATTACATGGAAGTTCTTTCTTTTATGACTATGACACCCACAAAGCTCTTATCTTATGGGGGGGGGGGGGGGGGGGGGGGGGGTTATGTGTTGTGTTCGCAAAATGTTCAGACAATCTGTTTGAGGCTCACATGCAGGTCTATTCTTTCCAACAGCTACCTTCTCCTTTATTAAAAGTCACCACAAATTGGAAAAGTGTTGTAGAGATAGAGACATTTTGAAAAATCTATTTCCCTTATAAATTTCAAACCTGTCTCTTGGGTGGTGTGTTTTTATTTTAGAAGAGGTTCTTAGTAATCTTAGGCATACACATAATAATAGTAGAAAAAAACTCTGTTCCATAGGAGAAGTATGCAGTCTAACTCACAAAGAACTCTCTTAACAAGCATCTTCTATCAGCACAAGCAACCTGCAAATTCCATTATTAATTCCTCCTTTTTTTTCTTTTTTCTTAAGTGACGATCAAGTTAGCTGACATAAACCAAAATCAAGTAAATGTTTGTTCCTTTATATTTTGTAAGAAAAATACCACTATATTTTTTGTTGTTCTCAGAACAAGTGTTACATAGTGGCCACAAATGACAAGGATTTGAAAAAGAGGATACGGAAGATTCCTGGTGTGCCTATCATGTACATTGCCCAGCACAGGTAAGGTTCTTGATTTGGTATTACTGTTGTTACTTACAGTTGAGTATAGATAACTCCAACACACAAAAGTTGAATTCACAGACAAGTCAAACAATGCCATTCCCCAGCTGAAACCGCTCTATAATATTTTTTTTCTATTGGCACCACTGGTTTCTCAAAAACTCGCATGGATGTGTCTAATAGCTCATCTAGAAAAGCCTGATCAAAATTTTCCTCATAATTGTCTTCCATTTGAAATCGCCCTGCATGCACAATGGGAAACAAACATACCCATCATCATCAAGAGTGTCAGGCTCACCAGAATCACTCTCACACAGCACGATACACATGCAGCAAGTATGGAGACTCATCATAGCACATTACCTGTAACCAGTGTGTGTAAGGCGCTAGAACTTCCTTTGATTTAGTCATGTGAGGCTGGGTGGTGTGGTGTGATGAAGGCAGTGCGGCACTGCATTAGGCCATGTGCTGTGTGAATTATGTTTGAGTGTGTGTTATAGTTTGAACATAAAGGTATGGATCAGGAAGTGATTACATTAGAGGGGAGGGTGACGTGCCGTGCTGACCAGTGTTGGTTACATGACTATGATTTGACAGAAGAGCAATTTTTATTTTTAATGGTAAGGAGGTTCATTAGCATCTATTTCTGCGTTTCTCTTGCGTCAACACCAAGGTGTTCAAACTTACTATCCTTCTATCGTTTTATTGATACCAGATACTTTTCATAATGACAGTGAAGTCACAATTACTTTTATTTTACGGATGTATTGAACACGTTTGTCAACCCCCGATGTGTTCGAGGTGTCTGTGCTTGGCTGTATACAACTATCAGTAATCAGCCTAAGCCCGTGCATGTTAGAACTTGCTTTCCTTTAAAAATCTAAATCTCTGATGCTCTAAATTTGAATGTGAGGTAGGCTCTACATCATAATATTTGTGATTTGTTATAGTACTACCTGGTTTGTTTGTTTTTTCGTATCATTTCTCTAATGTTTACAGTCTTTGTGTGCATATACATTGAATAATTGCAGCAAATTTAGTCGAGAGAATGGTAGAAATTTTATGTAGTCTTCCATCTTAAGTCTGAATCATCACTACTTTTGAATAAAAAGAACATTATATTGGTGTCGTAGGTCCTGAGGTAGGTTTTATATTGTGGAGCGTCAACTGAATTATGGTTGCACGATATTGCAGGAAACTTGTTGTTCTTACCTCCATTTTAAGTTTAATGTCCTCCATTTAGTTTAGTACTAATTACTTAAATATACACAGCAACCTTTATTGAAATTATGTAGTGTAGTGAATGCAAGTTGCTCCTTCACTTTATTTTCCATAAGTTCTACTCACACACGCACACTCGTCATAGTGATCATAGTCTAGCAAGCACATAGCGGAACCTTATCTTATTATACATATATATTATTTGTATTTTAAACGTGTTCATAGTGAAATATGTAAATAGCGAAAGGATTTCTGCATCCTGCTTATTTCACTATGTGATTACCAGACTATACACATTAAAAAAAAAAAGTAATTTGATTTGAATGGACTGCGTTCCATTGAGTGTTGAGCATTTTTCTCCTTTAAAAAAATATATTGTATCATCATTGCCAAAGTACTCAAAGACTCTTCCTTCTTTTTGTTTCAGATATTCAATAGAGAGACTTCCTGATGCATATGGTGCTCCAAAGGTGTAAATGTTTGCTGTTGTCATATGACCTGTATATAGTATGAATAAAAATATGTGAATGAACCTTTGTTGTTTTTAAAATCGGCTTTATGTGTGATTTTTAGTTTAGATTTACGGCACTTGCAACACTGTAAGGTCATATACAACTTAATAAATGCGGAAGATTAGAGGTGGTGCAAGAGAGAAATAAACACAAAAAAAGGAGGAGGAAAGATCAGGACGATAGATGTTTGATAAGAAAGAAGGAGCAAACCACACAAGAGGACCTGCCAACCACCAGCTGTGTGATTTTGAAAGAGAGCTTCAAACTTTATATTGTGAAAAGAAAATTGGTGGCTCTTATTTTAGGGTGACACGTGAGAAATTTGAGGTCCTGCCATGTACAGATACAGGCTAGTACAACTGCACTGACCGAGACAAAACTGTTGACTCGTGGTTTTGTTGGTGAGTTGTGGACATTGAAAATATGAGAAGCCTACTGCATCACAACGCACTTATTTAGATGTGGAAAGTTATGTGAACACAATGACAAAGCGAGCTCGATAAAACTATCTCATGATTGGACTGAGCTAGTGGGAAAAGAGATGCACCTCTATCTGACCTATCCAACAAACAAGTGTTTTTTTTACCTTAGTTTAGCCGCGTGTTCCAACATGTAGCCAACACTTCATGTTACTCTTGAGTGTGATTGACTAGCTCTCCTGAGGTGGTACGTGTACAGTGGAAACCTGATATAACAGGGATGGTGGGACCAGAGAAAAAGTCCTGTATATCTGATCCCTGTCAAATCAGAAATGCAAGTGAAGAAAGCATTTGTGGACTAATCCAGCTGTATTTATATGTAATGGGTAGTTTCCCTTGTCACAAGTTCCCAGGAACAGGGGTTTTGGCCATGTGGCAGGCCTGCGCACCAAACATTACGCGTGTGTGTAACTAAGCTTAGGGCTAGATCGAAGTCTGCAGCACACCGCAGCCCTCTCTTGCTTCACCCGCTGCTTGTGCTTGCAGTGGCTTGGCTTGCGTGGGCTTGCTCCATCACTACATAGTCTCTCTCTCTTACTTTTTACACATTGTTAACGAGCCTTTGTTCCTGCTATAACCGATTGGGCTCCGATGAGGCCCTGATATTGCAGATAACTTTTAATAACTTTTTAACATTTATATTATATATATATGGTTTCCACTGTAGTCTCTTTCTGAGATTTGTATTTTGGAAAGTAATTGGAGGCCCAATAAACTGCTGAAGATGATCAAAACTGTCCTTGCTAATTTAATTTAATAATATCCAAAAAGTGCTCGAGTGGCATCTCAGATTTTGGTACCAGCATTGTATAGGCCCTTTGAGCAATTGTTGAGTGATGCCAGGATGAACCCAAAATATTTCTGTATTTATTGTTGTTTTCAAATGGAAGTCATCACAGCACAAACACAAGCAACATCTGTCACATCCATGTTTTCCACAAATCTACCAAAAGTGCACAAAAACCATTGGCCAACTGTACAGTTTTGCCCAAGTGTTAAAAGAAATATTGAGCCCATCTAAACCAGAAAATGCTAGAAAATAATATGTGGTATAAAAGTGATATGCCAGCTACAGTGGAACTCGGATTCAACGAGGTCGCCGGGCCTGATCTAAAACCTCGTTGAATTCGAGTGTTCGTTATAGCAAACGTGAGGTTGGTTTTGTGAAGATTTTTACAGGCACTGAGCACATGTGTAAAGAGAAGTAAAGTAGTGCCTGAAATGCCTGCATATTATGAGCTATGTAAAAAAAAAAAGAAGACCAATTCGTTCATATGCACGTCTGTCATCTCGATTGTTTGCCAAAAAGTTGTGTTGCTGTGTAGAGCCTAGCACACGGCAATTTTTGATTCCATAGACGAGCCCTCAATTCACTACGTAGATCTACGTCAATACTAGCTTATATAACAACGATCAGATGCTGAGGGGAAAAAAAGACTGACGCGTTTGTATCTTCGACGTTCAGCGCCCGGACCGTTGGTGCCCCCCCCTCCCCGACACAGTCACACGTGTGCAGGCCGCCCATCCGACCCCGACACACGCCAGAGTAGACACGTGCACGTGCCAGCAATGCATGTGTTGATATGAAAAAAGGCCTCTGATTGGTCGCATTCAATCGGCTAGGGGAACAATAATTCACGGTGCAGGTGATGGATGGTTTCTGGGAATAGATAACGTTCGTTCTGGGAGAAAAAATAGGCGAAGCCATGTCTGTGGGGGCTGTTCCCCCTGGAAGCGACTTCGTTGAATCCGAGCCTGCTGATTTAAGTGCTTGTTGAATCCGGGTTATTTTTTATTGATTTTAAAGAAGAAAAAAAAACGGGGAATCTATCTCCTCTTGTTGAATCCGAGTTCTCGTTAAATCCGAGTTCCACTGTATTACTATTATTATACATTGACATCTCACACTTTGAAAATTAAAAAAACCAAAAACTTGCCTCTGAAACCACACTTAGTGTCATGGCTATGCTGGAAATAAACAGAAATAGACACAACTTTCAAGAACAGTACACTACACAAAACATCACCACTTGTTCTCAGCAGGCAATAGAGGAAGAAACAACAAAGTCATGGTGGGCAAACACCTTTGTGAGTAAGGCATGTGAGCCATATTCATGTCTTTTATTCAACTGTGTAACATGTACTTTGAATTGGCCAACTGAACAGCAATAATTCACCCGTGCCTTTGTTCTACTCTGAATCCAAATGTACATTGTACATAAATTGTAATAAACATACAAAAGAGGAAATGATTCACTATTTCCACATACTGTGCTGATTGGTGATGAGGAAACAGTTTTCATTTTCTGTACTCATACGGTACTTTTACTAACTTTTAGTTTACAAAAAACATCATGCGCTTCAATATTATTACATCCGACTGAAACCCGTTAATCTTGAAAATGCTCCAGTATCATTTGTAATTTTTAAACCATCAAGATAACAATTTCAAATAAACCTGATCACTATCCCAATTCAAGCAATTTAAACCACTGAAGAAGGCAGGCTGCTCTAACAATGGGACAAATCCTGTCTATAAACTAAGTATAAGGGACATATCCTAGTGAAAAGGCACAGATAGTAACATGCTCAGTACAATATCATGTTTCCCACACTGTAATCCCACCCGTGTCTTTTCCAACGTGAAGAGTCTAACTACTACACTGTTCAGAGTACAAGAACGAACAGAATCTTTAAAAGCGAACTGAAAAAAACAATTCTGACGTCCAGCGGAGTTCACACAGCACAAAAAGTAACTACTGCAGCCAACAGTCTGTCTTTATGTTCTAGGAGCCTCCCACAAAAGAAGTGGCTGCAATTTCATACTTACAGTTTTAGCATTTTTAATCTACAGTCTAGCACGCACACAGCGAAATAAGCACATAGCATAGATTTTTCAGGTCCCGAATTAAAAAAAAATATACATGAATATTCTTTGTGTTAAAAACATGTGAACAAAATTCACACCAAACAAAAAGATTTCCGTGTCCTGCCAATTTCACGATGTGCATGTAAGACTGTACTCCCGAACATACTTTCTTTCAAACGTTAAACTTAAAACTTACACAATACCTTCATAACAAAAAGTTGTTTCACATGAAAAAAATTATGTGAACTAAAAATAGTGAAAGTGATATAATATCAATTCAACAATTAGTATAATCAGTATTATATTATAATTTATAAACAAAAAAGTAATAAGCATTGAAAAGTTATTTTGCAGAGATGTTTGGAGAACCCTGTCACCACTTAAGTGCTTCACATCGCTACTGCATGTACAGTGTATTTAAATTAAGGCATTTGTTGACTTGTGGTGATCACCATAGCGCAAAGTGAGATTTCGATTACATGGAATATTGAACAAAATACTAAAACTAAAACTCTTTCGGTGTAGTTTGATCTCCTCCATCAAATAGATGCACTCATTCTACGGTACCACTTTGTGACTGTGAAGTAACATTTGTAAGCTGAAATGATCTACTAATGAAACAAAAAGTTGTGTGGTAAGTTTTAAAATGCCTATATCATATTGGCAATTTTACAATGCACAAATACTTTGTGAAAACAGAATTTATTCACTGCTCAACCATAAAGTGAAAAACGTTTTACAAAGGTAGGTTGAAGGGATTGCAGTTAGACACACTCATCAATAGTCCACAAGTGGCTTCTGTTTACAAGACCAAAAAATCCATGTTCTCAATTTTTTTTTAAAGGACTTAAAATATAGACAGCAAAAATTACAGATGTAACCTGATATTTGAATACATAACAAAGCTAAAAACAGGATGGATACTGATACTAATACCAACCAAACCAAGATCTGTCGTTTTGGGATAAGGGATAACAGTGAGTGAGTCATCAAGGCCTGTCATGATGAAAAGGAATAAAAGCAGCAGACCATAAACAAAAAAAGGCACCCACCAACCATCCCCTTTTCTCTTGGTATACAGTACCAGATCTATCTCTGAATACTCAGCAACAAAGAAAGAAATCAGTCCGAGATAAATAATCAGGCCACAGCCAGAATCCAAGGGGGGACAACAACAGAATGCTTATTTGAGGAAAAACCCCTACCCGAAATTGTGGATGACAGATAGGTATCTCAACAAAGTTCAGCACTTGTCTTACTGTTTTCGTAGTCAACTGGGTCACAAATGTTGCGTTGGGCTCAAGTGTAATGACCTTTCTTTTACAAAAGAACATGTAGTTGCAATTTTGAAATCTGGATGAAAAAGATGACTTTGAGTTAGAGATTATTGCACAGCTTGTTCACTGGTCAGTTGCCAACAGACCAGACTTGTCATTTAAATTGAAACCAAGACTTACTATTTATAAGCGAAGCCACACCTAATAGGCCTACTAAGCTACTACACACGAAATCGGAAAACCCTCCTTCACTGCCATGTGACTATGGACATATGCATGCTTAGGCCACACATTACATGTGGTATTAATTAGGGAAGAAGAGAGGGACATAAGCTTCATAACACACCAGAATCAAGTGCACCACTTGCCTCTACTTGGGCAGTAATTCTCTGAAC